CTGCTTCCGATTCTGTCTCCTTCTCTCTCTGCCCCTCCCCCACTTGCTCTCTATCTCCCTCTCAAAGTAAATTAAAATAAACTTAAAGAAAAAAGATAAAAAAAACTACCAAACCCACCCAGGTAAGACAGATCATCTGGACAGGTCTAACACCTACTAAATAAATTTACTGGTGAATGCTCCCAAACTACTGAGAGAGAAATTATACCAATTCTCCACAGTATCTTCCAGAAAACGGAAGCAGAGAGAATACTTCGTAATCCATTCTATGAGGCCAGCATCACCCAAATACTAAAACCTGATAAAACACATGAAGAAAAAGGAAAACTACAGACCAGGATCTCTTATGAATAAAGACGCAAAAACCCTCAATAAACTATCAGCAAGTCACATACAACAAAATATAAAAAAAAGAACTCTACACCAAGATCCAGTGGACTCACCACAGGGAGGTAAGACTGGATCAACATTTGAAAATAAGCCACTGGACTACACCACATCGACAGGCTGCAGAGAAGAATCACATGACCATGTGTCAATTAGCATAGGGAAAAAATCTGACAAAAATCCAATACCCGTCCACGAAAAACTTCTCAGTGAAAATACAGGAGAACTTTCTCACCTTGTTAGAACAGCCACCAAAAAATACAGTTAGCATCATGCCTAATGGTGACAAACTGAGTAATTTCCCCTTAAGTTCAGAAACAAGGCAGGGGTTGGGGCGCCTGGGTGGCGCAGTCGGTTGAGCGTCCGACTTCAGCCAGGTCACGATCTCGCGGTCCGTGAGTTCGAGCCCCGCGTCAGGCTCTGGGCTGATGGCTCAGAGCCTGGAGCCTGTTTCCGATTCTGTGTCTCCCTCTCTCTCTGCCCCTCCCCCGTTCATGCTCTGTCTCTCTCTGTCCCCAAAATAAATGTTGAAAAAAAAAATTTAAAAAAAAAAAAAAAAAAAAAAAAAAGAAACAAGGCAGGGGTGTCCCTACTCCCCACTCCTCCTTAACACCGTGCTGGAAGTCCTTGCTGGTGCAAAAAGACAAAGAAAATTTTTAAATGTAAGAAATAAAGGAAAATAAAAATAAACTATGACTAGGTTGGGCTTATGCCAGGAATACAACATTTGTCCACCATTTAAAAATGTATTAAAGTAATTGATGACATTTGTAGATTCATAACACAATAACACAACCCACATGATTATCCCAATAGACACAATGAAATAATTCTATAAAATTCACTTAAACTCGAGATAAAAACTCTTAGCAAACTAGGAATAACCTAACAGCGAGTGTTAAAATAAAAAATTGCTTCAAATGTAAGTCAACAACGAAAGGTTTAAAACATTCCCTTTAAGAGCGAGAATAAGGTAAGAGTACCTCTGTCACCACTTCTATTCAATACTGAACTGTGGGGGGAAAAGAAAAGATAAGAAAGGGAAAAACTGAAAAGATGTAAAAGGATCTAAAAGAAAGAAGATTGTACACAGAAAGACCAAAAGAATCTACAGTTGAATTAATAAGAAAGTCAGCAAGGTCGCTGGACATGAAATCAATACACACAAGTCCGTGGCATTTCTGTCACCAGGAATAAATGTGAGAAAACATAAGCCCGCAATTCTCCATAGCAACAACAAAAATACAAGAAAAAAAAAATCTAACCAAAGATGAACAAGATCTTTACGGAGAATATTAAGTGCCATGAGAAACATTGATCATCTTCGTGTATGCGTGATATTTTTGTGGCTGTCGACAACGATATGTTTTTTAAAATTATATATTCTAACATAAAAATTACCTTTAATAAGTTGAGGGAAAGATCCATGCTCGTGGAAAGGAAAGCTTACGATGGAAGGCTATAAATTCTCTGCGATTAATCTCTCTTCAAAGCAGTCTCCATCAAAACCCCAGCCATGGTTAGAAGAACTGGGAAAGCCAATTATGGACAGTGTATGGAAAAACAAAAGCTCCTATTAGCCAGACTTTGACGAAGATTAAGAACAAGGCCACGGCGGGCAAGGGGACAGAGGAACTGTCCTCGGAGATGCCAGCGTTCATGAGGCTCGAGTAACAGAAGACACCGTGAGTTCGATGCAGTGAGAAACACAGACCAATGCAGCAGAGCCGAGAGCCCAGGAACAAGGCTGTGACCGTGTTACAAGGGACGTTCTGGGACTGTGTCTGCGTGAGGAGCTCCAGCTACAGAGGAAAAGGCACGGAACGGCCACTGGTTACGTACACGGGAGGAAACACAACAGGATCCCCCCTCCAATCAGAACCGGGAACGCATTTCAGTGCAAATCTTCCCATGAAGTCAAGGCACAAGACACATAACAGGTGGTCAAGGGGAAGGTCTTCGTGAACTTGGGAAAGGACAGAGTTCTGGGACCCTCTCCCCGTTTCCCTGGCATCTCCGACCAGGGGCCAGGGTGCCAGGAGACAGGGTGACAGACAGGGAGAGGCTGGCACAGAAACCCCTGGGCACCCCCTGCGAGCAAGAAGGGGTTTCCACTAATCACCGTGACCCAGACCACAGCCACGGCCGCCAGTCCTCACACATGGAAGCCTGTGCGCCTGGTGGGAAGCCAGCCAGGCGGCGACAGGAGGGGACAGCTCCCCAGGACTCAAGCGGCTCCAGAGCCAGCCTACCCGGCGTGACACGGACGTGCTTAGTTAGTGCTTCTGTTCGCTCTCTATTTCATTCTTGATGTTTTAAAATGCAGCTCTTCCATTTTTAGTTCACAAATAGTGGTCGGTGTTTTAAATTTTACGTAGTTGAATTTCGTAACCTTTGACGGTTTTGTCGTATCTCTGGCAAATACCTACCCGCCCCTCCCCCCGCCCCGGGCTGGAGAGGACATGTGAATCCTGCCTCTGCTGCCCCCCACATTGTGTTATGAACGTTAAGGACAGACTCACCCTGTCTCAGAGAAGAGGCTGTCAGAAACAGCTCCAGGGGTGATGACTGACGCTCCAGAGATGAACAGAAAGAAAGTGAACTGACACAAGTCTGGAGGGCAGAGAGAGACTTTGGGGAAAGGCAAGTACCGGAGAGAAGTGTGAGATGAGAGCCGGCATCCTGGGGGGTGAGATTGCGCGCAGTCTGGTTCTAGATTCAAATCCGGGCTCCAGCACTCAGCAGGTCTGTGATCTACTGCAAGGGACGTAACGCCTTACCTTTCAGATCTACTCCTCAAGGGTTCTATAAGAATGAGAAATAAGGTGTGCAAAATGCCCAGCACGTAGTAGGTGCTCTGTGTGAGCTGTGATTATTACCGACAAAGTATAGGGTCCTTGGTTTCTCCGTGTGCTTGGATAAGGACTGCAACTCCGCCATAGTCATCTAATGGGGTTAGCAGAGGAATTCCTTGTTTGTCAAACTTGCCTTCAATATTAGTGGCAGGTTGTTTTACACGCACGCTCACTCATGTTGTTCACACTTCCACCAGCAGACGAGTGTCCACCCCCTTTCCCTAATCACCGTGGGGTCCTGAGACTGGCCCACGCAACAGAGAATGGTTCCGAGGCCAGATCACAAAAGGATACAGCTTTAGCTTGGGACACAGGCCTCGGAGCCCGAGCCAAGACACGAAGCCCAGCGACCCTGAGGACGGAGAGAGATGTTCAAGGAACACATCTAATGCCATACTCAGCAGGTTGTGTCCAGACAGCGCAGGCACCAGATGTGACTACAAGCCATTCTAGATGATTCCTGCCGGCACGTAGCCCCCAGGCCGGGGAGCTGTCACCCAGGAAAGCTGAGAGGAGCTGCGCCCACCACACCCTGCCCAGATTGCTGACTGCCGGGAAAAATAAAGGCTTAGAGCCACCAAGCTTCAGGGTGGCTTGTTACACAGCCATGGTGACCAGGACAATAGTCTTTGCTTGCAAGAGCTTGTCACATTCAAAAAAGGAAAAGAAAAGAAAACCCTCGGGGACATTAGATAGAATTGCTTCCCTTTGGGGATAAATGCGGATCTTTCAACACTGAGCCTTCCTACCAGCACTGAGTCCCACACCAAGTCCTTCCTGTGTAGCTTCCACAGGGAGATGTGTTTTCTTCCCATTTAATCACTGAAAAGAGCTGACCTGTATGAATGCTTTCCTAATGATAAATATCTTTATATTCCTATGATAACCCCGCTTTGTCAGGAGGTACTTTTATCTGCACCTCTGGAACTGGTTTGCTAATAATCTCTCATGTAGAGATTAGCATGTAATTTTTTTAATGTTTATTTATTTTTGAGAGAGAGACTGGGCAAGATGGGGAAGAAGGGCAGAGAAAGAGGGAGAAAGGAAATCCCAAGCAGGCTATGTGCTGTCAGCACAGATCCCAGTGTGGGGCTCAAACTCATAAACTGTGAGATCATGACCTAAGAAGAAACCAAGAGCCGGATGTTCAACGACTGAGCCACCCAGGGAGATCAGCATGTGATTTTTTACTGTTTCCTGGTTTTGATATCAAGGTCATACAGAAGACGTAAAATGAATGTCTCACATCTCTCCCCTCTCTGCTCTTTCATAGTTGGGATGCATATCCCTGGGATGTTTCCTGGAACTGAGTATAAAAGTCTTCAGGTCTGGTATTGAAACTACTGATACAATAGATTTAATATTAAAAGATTATTTAAATGGTCTTTTCTTGGTTTACTTTAGGTACGTTTTAAATTTTCTAAGAAGTAGGCTAAAATATCTTATTTGTGTGCAATTCTCGAATAATAGCTTACCCAGTATAAAATCCTCAATTGATCATTATTTTCTCTTAGCACTTAGGTGTCTTGTCTTGTAGCTTCCGCTGTTTCTGCTGACACTTGCTGTCATTCCAGCTGTGGTTCTTACAAAGGTGACCTGTCTCTCTCGCTTCTAAAGTTGTCTCTCATCTTTGGCGTTCTGCCCTCTCATCATAACGTGTCTGCATGCAGATTTGTGGGGTTGTCAATCCTGCTTGGGGCTCATTAAAATAACTGCATACGACTTGTTTTGGTTCTTCGCCTACTCTAAGCTCTTTTTTCACTTCCTCTCTTTCTTAGCCCCTTCCCCACCGTCGAAGAAGCTCTGGTGGACTTTGTCACACACAGTGACACTGGCCAAAGGACTGAGGGACCCAATGAGGAGCAGGGGGATGTCTCGAGCAAGTAGGCCACAAGCAAGTGTAGGGACGTAAATTCGCTGGTGTGCAGTCACCTGGGCACACCTGGTGGGGACATAAATGGGACCAAGTGGAGGCTCACAGACTTGCTGATGAGCACTGCGACGGGGCCCCGTCCAAAACACACACGGCATCAGGTGTGATCACAGCCATGTGCTGGCCCAGGCAACTGTGCTCTTGTCCCGACTATCCATGAGTTCTTCTAGACTTCGGACAAGCTCCAGAATAAATTCAAATCCATCATTCTCCCTCTAGAAATTGTTATCCCCGTGAGTAAACAATTTGCTGAGTAAATTCCAAAATGGAGTCAATATTCTAACGGTAAATATGACTTGCTCACCCAACTTTTGGAAATGTGGGTTATCAGATTTCAGGATTTGAGGGAGAGGCAGGGAACTGGCATTTATCAAACATCGGCCTTGTACCGGGCCCTGCCCCTGACACCGACCTGACCACAGACACAGACGTGTGCAGACGTGCACTATCGTCCTGACCTGGACAGGTGGCCAGTGTGAAATGCTGACCTGGGTGCACATCCAGCTCTCACGGCTCCAAGCCCTTCGCCAGGCCAAGATCCTCCACTGACATCACCCTCTGCACAGAGATTCAGGGCCTAGGTCCTCGCCCTGTGCCTCTACTGCTGACCAGCTGGGACACTTACTTTTCTCTGAGCCTCGGTTTGCTTATCTACAAAAGGGAAGAGGACAGGCTGCTGAGGCTCCCTCACAGGGCTGTCGTCAGACTCAAATGAGCCCTTTGACAAGCAGGTATGAGATACGCTGTCAAGAACCACACATGGAAAGCACTGGAGATGTCGCCAGAAACGCCGACCAGCGCTTCCCGGGCCCGCTCTGTATCAGATTTCAAAAACAACATGCCCGCGAGAGAAACAACTCGGTCCAGGAAGGCAGGTATTGGGCACAGAAGGGAGGGATTGCAAGCCTGGAGAGTGGCAATTTGTGTAGCTGTTGATTTTACAAATCATTAAACATAACAACAAATATAAAGCAAGCGTTTCCTGCCCGGATCGAAAGTGGAGTCAGAGGGTAACGTGTGGTGTTCCCCGCAAGGGGCCATTCGACAGCCATTACGTGGTCAGCTGATGCAGAGTGTTCCAGCTTCACCCTCCAGGAGCAGGGGGGCTGCCAAAACCACCCGCATCTCCGCAGGACCAGGACCCCCATGAGCACCCCCAGAAAACATCTGCACAGCTGCCACAGTAGAGCCAGATGGATGCTTGGAAGACGCGTGCTGCCCACTCTCTGGCTTGTAAAGCAGCAGAAAGACCGTGACTGCTGTGCCTGTCAACCCAGCTTCCAACCATGAATAGACCCGAACAACCTGCATTCGCAAAGAGCACCTGATCTGAGGTTCTCCACTTCTGTGCCCAATGCTTCCGACCCTTTCCTGTCCTTACCACCAAGGACCGTGTCTGCCACGCGGCCGAACCAAGAAACTTGTGTGACGGAAGGAAGAAGGGAAGAATAACATCTTATTTCAAGTACTTGGCTCACATCCTGTGGTCCTCTGGTTGCCGTTTGGTTTATCTAGACAGAGACCATCTGACAAGGCCCAGAGACGATCCAAACCTCGTCCAGGGGATCTGCCCACTGGCCCATTTCACAGGGCTTGAAGGAAACCTTCACTCCACACCCTGTATGCCATTCTGGGCTCTCAGCACCAGGGTTATAAATATTTCAACAACATGCAAACTTGAAAGGCGATATTTCTTTCAGATCAAGAACATGGGCTAGTTTGACGACGGAGAGAAGGGAATGCACAAACTGTTCCATCACACGTTGTAATGTTTTTCCTTCTTCTTTTCTATTTGTCTCTTCCCAATGGTTCTAAGATATATTAGGCTGCTTATTGGCCATGATGTACTTATATGAAGAGCTTTCATATCTTGTGCAGCTCACAGTGTCTCCAATAGAAATCTATTGTGACTAAGTAAGAGTGATATTTTTGCTAGGGAGTATCTGCTACATTGCATTAGCTTCATTTGGAGGAAAAAAGCATTTTCGTCTCTGAATTGCCGTACATTTGATTTCTTTGTTTAGCTCAGAAAACACAGATTGATGGATTGACTTAAGAAACGTTTATGGAAATTCAAGGGATTAAAGCAAGAAATACCTACAAGAGCGCGCTACGAGAACATAAATAAAATAAAGGCATGACATTGGTTACTTTTGAATTAACAAACATTTCCCTTTTTTGGAAATTTTGTTTTTCTTTGCAATGAAGACCAAATATATACGATTTACATCAGACAACTTTCCAGGACTTTTTTTTTTTTTCTGACTATAGACTCTCAGGGGTCATAATTCATACTTCTTTCTAATCTCTCTATTCTTCTGCTATCACTCACTACTCCTGTACCTTTAAGTATCTGGGACATTTTTGCAGGCAAGGTGGTTCTTCAATTATTAAAACAACAGGCAGACTGGAGAAAGGCAGACATTTCTCATTTGCTAGTTTAAATAAAATGGATGCCTCACAATCACTTCTGAAGCAGAGCCAAAGAATCTGCTACCCAAGGCAACACATGTACAGTAAGTCACTTTACGAACTACAGTGGAGATTTTAGTCACGTGAATAAGGCCCTTGTAAAGTCAACAATGACTGCCAGAAGGGCATCAGAGTTTACCTGACAGTGCAGACAGTGTTTCATTTTCATAAATGATCTGTCCCTCTGTCCCTCCTTCCCTCCATCATCTATCTCCTATTATCTCTCTATCCATTCGTCTATCTACCCACCCATCCATCCACCTTCTATCTATCCATCCATCCATATTTTCTCCATCTAGCACCTGCCTACCTGTTCATCTATCTAACTTTTACCTGCACCTGCCATTTGCACAGAACACTGTTACATAATCAGACAAGTGATAGCCTGAAATAAAATCTTTTCAACAGGGAGCAGTCTCTCCCCCTCTGGAACGTGAACCCATTCCAACATTACACTATTTAGCTAGTGTTCAGCACAGTATCCAGCCCACGGTAGGGGGTGCTCCGTACATGTCTCCCGATTCAAGAACACTCAACGAACCATTGCAGTAGCTCAGATGGCAATAGTCAGTCAACTGTCGGTTCCATGTAGTTATTGAAAACATGGGTCATTTGCCAGGTTTATCCTGCAGTGTTGTGGCCAGGTCCCCCTCATGGGATGATTCGTGAAACGGTTCATCGTTGGAGGTTTGCAGAAACCACGTGATGTCGTCGGGGCTTCTGCGGATCCTCTTAGACTATGGCTTTAGAAAATTAGACCGAGACTCAACCAGTAGTGCATCCTTGATTATAATTACAGTTAATGGATTTAAGGAGAAGCATTTTACATTGAAAGTTTCTGCCCTTGAGTGGCGGGCAGCAGCCTTCTTTATGGCCACGGAACTTGGAATGCCAGAGTCGGTCCTGATGTTTCCTCAGGAGGCTCAGAGAACAGGCTGCCTTCCCATACAAAAGTGGGGCTTCTGTCTTTCAAATATCAAAGGACAAAAGGAGGTTCCTGGTCCCTTTTCTGAATAAGAAACGGCATACAAATATCTATACATCTATACCTCTATCTGGATAGGCACCTTGGACACTTTATCAGCGAGACAGAAGGAAAACTCTAACGAAAAGCAACCTTGATAGTTTTATCAAATGTGAAAGGCTGAGGGGCAATGACACAGGCTGTTTACAAAGCTGGGTGTGATGGGCAACTTTCAGTGTAGAGAGAGAGAGAGAGAAAAAATGCTTCTTCCATCTAGACAGAGAAAAGAGAGAGATTCAGAGAGAGACGGAGACAGACAGGTGAAGAGACAGAAGCTCACATCACACAGACGCAAGGGAAGTGTCTGTCTCCGTCCTGATTGCCAGAACAAAGCACCATACGGTGGGCGGCTCGTAAGACAGACGTCCCCTCCTCACAGCCGCGGACGCCGAAAGCATGAGATCCAGGCACCGACACGGTCAGATGACAACCTGCTGGCTTCTTGTGTCCTCACATGGCAGAAAGAGGGTGGGCTTAGCTCTCCTGCCTCTTTCCACAAGGGCACTAATCCCACACGAGGGTCCAGCCTCACGACCTGCTCACTTCTCAAAGGCCCACCTCCTAACACCGTCACCTCGGGGTTGGGATTTAACATATGAGAGGCAGGGGACGCCTTCAGTCACAATGGCATTGTTACTGTCTCACCCGTGCTATAGACTGAACGTTTCTACGCCCCCAAAATGCAGGCAGGCTCTCCACCACCTTAGCCTCCTGCCGTTTAAGGCAAAGAATGAGCCTAGGCCGGAACCCTCTAGTTCCCACGCTGCACGGAAGCACAGAGTCAAGGTGAATCTCCCTTCCGCCTTGTCCTCTGGGTCCGGGACTCCCCCCAGATGCCTCCACACCCAAGCATCCCAGCCCGGCAGTGACAGGCCAGTGACAGGTAGCCACTCTCACATCAACCCAGCACCGTCCCGGAGTCCTCCCGGCCTCCCCCATCCCACGGCCCAGCTGGAAAGGCTCCCCGGCTCCCTGCGGCCCAGTGCCAGAGCCCAAACCTCTGGGGCCCACAAGAAAAGGGATTCAGCGAGGAAACCGTCTGGAAAAGAAACAGGTACCTTTTGGCCACAGAGAGAGTAAAAATTCAGGCTACTGGTTTCTTTTTTTGGATAAACATTTAAACACGGGAAGACCCAGGGCTCTGTGTAGACACGCTGCCCACCCCTGCATCCTGTCCCCTCGGCCACCAGGGACAGGTGGACAAAATGTCGGCAAGTAGACCCCCCTGGACGACATGGCAAATGCCAGGGACCATCACTGCGTAGTCTAGAACTCACTGTGCTCGCGCTGTCAGGGGCCAGGACGGAGCGTGGCCACACAGTGTCCTCTGCCCTTTCCGCCCGCCCCTGCCTTGTGAGTTCTGCCCTCCAGAGGCTGCTTCAATGCCTTTCCTGGCCACAGAGAGTGGCCACATATGATGACTATCTCTGTAACTTGGAGGAACTGAGAAAACCAGAGCCAGGTAAAACGGGGGGGTCTCCCTGTCGGCACCACACCTTCTGTTTAGGGATAT